AGCCACGCGTATATATCGAGTCCAACGCGTTGCACAACACAGTGGTTGCACTGCACAAGACGCGTTGGTCTGGTCTAGCAATACGACCTGTTTTTGCTCAAAGGCGGATATTGGAAACAGAGGGGGCCATGCTTTTATTCAGAGACAAAGGGGCGGTGGGGAGTCTATATGGATTCTGTAGGAAATCCTGTGCCACCGACATTTACGACTCACTTATTCGCCTCTACTTCGCCCCATTTATTTTCCTTATCGCTGTTCTTTTTCTTTTCATAGGCGTCCTTAATTTCTTTAGGTAAAACTAAAATTTGTAGATACAATGTTTCTACCAATGTTCCCTGTCCATTCTGATGCACGGTATTCACATCTATTGTTTGGTTCAGAGTTTCTTCATGACGTGCTTGGATAGTTTTACTGTTACGTTACAACATCATTGGTTTTGTGTGAACTTCTCATGTGCTAGTTCACGTAAAAACAAATTGTATGCATAGATCGAATGCCACAATATGTGCAACGATATAACAGTTACGAGATAAGTAGCAGCTGTGCGTGTGTGTGTGTGTGTGTGTGTGTGTGTGTGTGTGTGTGTGTGTGTGTGTGTGTGTGTGTGTGTGTGTGTGTGTGTGTGTGTGTGTTGGAAGATGCCAAGCCGCATCACCAAAGCGGATATCTTTCTTGGAGCTTCTCCTGTGACCTGCAGATCATCACGGCTGACGTTTATTCGGTACTGGCTTTCCAAGAGTTCGCCCATCTTTGAGCCCATACTTCCCTGTTGTGACGCAATTGGCTGAGAGCCAATAAAAGTTTATTCTCTCCCTCTCTCTCTTGTTTTCGAGTTTTCTTAGACGAATGCCGAGGGCACCCTGTGACATTTAAAGAAATAATAAAGTAAGTTTGTGGCACGTTAGACGATTTTTTAATAGAAGGAATACATCATCATCATCATGACTACGCCCACTGCAGGGCAAAGGCCTCTCTCGTGATCCGCCAATCAACCCGGTCTTGTGCGTAATGCTGCCGCGTTATACCTGCGAACTTTTAATCTCATTGGCCCACCTAACCTTCTGTCTTCCCCTAACCCTCTTGCCTTCTCTAGGAATCCAGTCAGCTACCCGTAATGACCAGCGGTTATTCTGCCTAAGCGCTAAGTGCCCGGTTCATGTCCATTTCGTTTTTTTTTTTTTTCAACAATGATATCCTTAACCTCGGTTTGCTCCCTGACCCACTCTGCTCCCGTCTTGTCTCGAGGTTATACCTATCGTTTGTCTTTCCATCGCTCCTTGCGTCGTCCTCAATTTAAGCTGAACCCTCTTTGTGAAACTCCAGGTTTCTCTTTCGTAGGCAAGTACCGGCAAGATGCAGCTAGTATATACCTTCCTCTTGAGGGTTAGTGATACATTACCATTCATGATTTCAGAATGCTTACCAAATGCAATCCACCCCACCCTTATTCTTCTAGCTATTTTACTCTCACGATTCGGCTCCGCAGTTACTACCATGTCCTAAGTAGACATATTAACACGAGAACGTTAAAGAGCTCGTTTTGCAGATATTGTGGTGACGGTGTTGACGTCATTGGTTGTAAGCGAAAAGTCATCATCTTATGCTTGACAAAAAAAAAACGCCAGGCCTGCGCGAAAGGCGCAGCACAGTCACAACGAAAGCTAAAAGAGCGGCCTTTCAGAGTCTTTTCAAAACACACATTGGGTAACTACTGCAAGCACACTTGCTTGGTGCCCACTAAGGCATTAATAATAAACGTTTTGGTAATATACTGGCATTCGCTACGCTATTTTTCTTAATTCTTCTAAGAAGCGTGGTATCCGCTGAACACTTGCAAGGAATCCGTGCCAATTGTTCATGCAGTGGCTGCCGACGATGAGGATTTATGGCTAAAGTGGTTATGCGCCACAGTTGATAGGGGAACAAGAACAAGCTTTTGTAATGGGTTGGAGCATTGTACGGCCCACTCGTCACGCTATGCGCATTGTGCGACGACTGGTTGTTCTTTCGATGTCTTAAAACGCTTTATAAGTCATGTTAACGCGCTTACTTTTACGACACAAAGCCTGCCTAAGGCAAGTTTGCCAACAAGTCACAAGCGCCGCCGTAACTAAGTGGTGGAATACTGGGCTGGCAACCAGCATACCCGGGTTCGTTCCCCACTGTGTCTTTAGTGCTAGACTTTTTTTTTCTAATTTCTCACGATGTGGTTACGGACACCGGCGGCGGCGGACAACTTCGTGTGACCCGAGTTGTTATCTCATAACAACTTTCGCTGTAAAAATTGAGAATAATGCAAATTGTGTAAATAAATGATTAAAAAACCCTGGAGCAGAACGGGTACCGAACCAGGGTTGTTTGGGTCCGAGTGAGGACCTAACCCGGGTCGTTTGTGTGACAAGCGGATGTTCTACCACACGACCACGCCTCTGCTTGTGAAAACAGTGAAAACACAACTTCCTCTGCTTGGAAATGCAGTGAATGTAGCTTTCATGCTTCAAGAACACATGCGTCCTGTATACATGCTTCACAATGCAACGTGAAATACTGCAGTAATAATGCGTGGTACAACCATCCATTGCCAACGGGCGTAAAAATATGCGATTATCACAATGGCTTCGCAGTCGAAAGTCGGTACCCTGCTACAAAAGGCACATACGCTTCTGCGCCTATTCTCTTAAGGCCACGTAGCGTGTGCATAGCAAATTCGAAAATGTTTCATGCACTAAATGTTTGAAATACGCACTAGGAACAGCATGTCGCTATCGCGTTCAACTCCTAAAAGCGGAGCTTTAGGGTCCCCTAATTTTTTTTCTTTACCATTCCAATGACTCCTCTTTTATCGCAAAACGCTGTTTTTTTTTTTGCGAGACTGTTGCACATTACTTTTCTTTTATGCATATCAATTTTCAGGCCTACTCAATTGCTTTTCATGTCCATTTCTATAATCGTGAGCTGTAATTCGTCCCCCTGCCGTTCTTTTCCTCCTACTTTCCTGGCTGTAATTCATCCCCTGTGTTACTCATCAAGGCAATATCATCGTCGAATCGCAGCTTAATAAGAGACTCTCCATTAACCCTAATTCCCAACTCTTCCATATCTAGGGCCCCGAAAACCTCCTGTAAACACGCAGTGAACAGCATTAGAGCGATTGTGTCTCCCTACCGTACACCCTTCTTTATTAGGATTCTGTCGCTTTCTTGTGGAGAACTATGGTGGCTGTGGATGTTTATGTAGGGTTCATCGATGTCCTGATTCCGTAATGTCTGCATCACTGCTGATTTTCCGACTGAGTCAAGCACCTTCTGGTAATCTATGAAAGCTATGAATAGGAGCTGGCTGTATTCCGCGCATTTCTCTATTACCTGATTGACAGTATGAGTATATATGGTCTGTTGTGAACTATCCTGTACGAAATCTTGTTTGGTCCTTTGACTGATTGAACTCTAATGTTGCCCTAAATCTATGAGCTAATATTTTTGTAAGTATTTTGTAGAGAACCGACAGTAAGCTGATTGGCCTGTAATTTTTCAAGTCCTTTCTCCGCCATTTTTCAGGAGGTTCCTTGTTACCTTAATTTCACCAGCAGCTTTACCTCTTTGGTTTCCTTCTTTGTTCTACAGAGAGCTGTACGGAAGCCGAAACAACCAGTATGATATCGTAAGAAGCAATATAAATGCACTGAGGAATTCGACATCCTACCAGTAACGACAGGGAAAGTAACGAAAGCCCTAGAAGGAGAAGAAACACGGATTTCTCCCTATTCGGCGTTGGGCGTCATGCACGTTCATGAAGCATAACTGCACTGCACTTTGTTGCTCCAATGAAAATTTCTGTAGGCCATGAGAGGTTGTATTCGTGGCATAAGCAGGCACTGTTTTGCATGGCATTTCAGAGGAATTATAAAAGCGCGAGGAAAGGATCCAAGTTATAGTACGCGGCTCATGCCCACGGCGTACTGGTGACGCAATTCCGGAGGTTACGCAAAATTTTAAGCAAAAAATGAGAGCTTAGTGAACGCGCTGGCAGAAGGCGCAGCGTGTCCAACAGAAAGTTCAACAGAAGAGCTAGGTTGTAGCATAAGGCTCATACGGGATCCATTTCTTCTTTGGCAGTTCGATGAGTTGCGGCAATGATGAACTCATCAAAGTCTACGATCATCATGATGATCAATTACACAGAAAGTATTTTAATTTTTTGTAAAGACCACCCAGCAACTAGTCTAGAAACTGGAACGTCTTTTATAAGTACTTGTGTTAGAACCTTAGTTTTATTATAAAATTTTGCTGAAGTTTAACGTCTCAAAATCACGATATTATTATGAAAGAAGTTTTTGTAGAAAGCTCTGGAAATTTCTACCACCTGGGGTGCTTTATTGTGTGACTCTAAGTACACGGACTCCGATTATTTTTCCTTCCACCAAAAATGCGGTTGCTAGGGCCGGGATTCAACCCCCCAAGATACTAATTTGCGTCCTATATATGCACATAGATGTGTTGTAGCGGAATAGCAGGGAGGCAGACTTTTTCTAGTGAGACGACGACAGAGAAAAAACACGTCCTTTCAGTTTGAACGCATCACGAAGACTGGTTTATTCGTTCGCTATGTACCGCTGTCGTAGAGAGGGGAAGAAAAAAAAAAGGAAAAGCAAACAGAGAAGCACAAGTATTGTCAAAGAGTTTCCTCCGCACCCCGCACGTGCGACGGTCTTCAAGGACAGATGGACAAAACGCTTTCCGCGTGTTCGAGAAGGGTCATTGTGGCCCTCACCCCCTTTTCCCTTCACGGCTAGGCTTGTAGGTAAAAACAGATGTCAAGGACGCCCTTCGCTCCTTTCGCATTGCCCGTCACGCGAACCACCCGAAAACGAGTCCCTCCGAGTTGCCCCTCCTCCCCCTCTTCGCCGCGGAGTCTTTCAATTAACGCTCCCCCGCAGCGGGGGCTGCTTCCCAGTATGCGACAAATACAACAACCTCCCCCGGATGAGCGAACTCTTGAGCTCATTGTCGGTCGACTTCTAGCGGATAAAGCAGCTGTATTGGTCGTTTCACCACCGTTCCCCCGCTTAGTTTCAAACTGCAGGCCCGCACCCTGCCGTCCCTGCCCTTGAACGTTTCCTTGATTCTGGCGATCTTCCACATGTGTCGTTTGAGATGATCTTCCTTTAAAAGAACTAAATCGTCTATCTTTAGGTCACTCGATGTCGTTGGCCGGGACAGATGCGCCGATCGAAGCTCCAATAAGTACTCTCTCCGCCACCGTCTCCAGAATCCTTCAGCCATGGCAGACCGGTACTTCCAGCGTCGTGAGATATGCGCGTCACCGCCCGGAATTTCGGCTGGCAGGTGGTGTGGAGGAAGGGTTGTCAGCTTTCTTCCGACGAGGAAGTGCGCCGGCGACAGTGGTTCTGGCTCTTGAGCATCATCGTAGGTGAAAGTCAATGGGCGTGAGTTTATTACGGCCTCGACTTCGTACAAGACAGTTGTGAGTTCTTCAAAGCTTAAACTGCTCCGACCTAACACCTTGCGCAACGCTACCTTCACCGATCGCACCAACCGTTCCCAGAATCCGCCCCACCAAGCTGCCCTTTCAACAATAAACTTCCACCTGATCTGGTTTCCGGCGAAGTATGACTGCATTTCCTCTGATTTTAGTAGCGTGAACATTGCATTCAGATCTTTTGCTGCTCTCTTGAAGGTTAGCGCGTTGTCCGAATAAATAGTCGAGCAGATTCCCCTGCGAGCCACGAAGCGCTTGAAAGCCAGGAGAAAGGCTGTAGTCGACATGTCGCTAACGAGCTCAAGATGGACGGCACGTGTCACAGCGCAGGTTAAAATTGCGATGTAACATTTTCGGGCACCGCGCGACTCTTGACAAATCAAAGGTCCTGCGAAATCGATGCCGACAGTGTCGAACGGATTTCCTTCTGTTACTCTGTCAGCTGGAAGTGGTGCCACTGGTTCCGTGGCTTGAGGGCAACTTTGTTTGCGACAGATGAGGCACTGCTTGATAACCTTTTTTACGGCCTGGCGCCCTCGGATGATCCAATACGACTCTCGCAATGACGCCAAGGTGTCGCGCACCCCTGAGTGTAGCATTCTCACGTGCTCTTTCCTTATGAGCAGTAGCGTGAAGGGATGAGTGCTAGGTAGAATGATGGGATGTTTAGTCTCTTCGTGGTTGTCGGTGAATTGCAAGCGTCCACCAACTCGCATGAGACCTTCCCCGTCAAGGTACGGACTGAGTGGCAGAACAGGAGAGCCTTTGTGCAGTGGTCTTTGGGCTTTCAAGTTGGAAATGTCGTCACTGAATGCTTCTCCTTGAGTTGTTGTCAACCAGTACCTCTCAGCATCGATCACCTCTTCAGCTCGTAGCGGACCACCTTTCCTTTCTTTCCCGCGGCGGCAATTGTTGACAAAGCGGCGGACCCACGCAGTTAAGCGCACGACTCTGCTGCATGAGCTGAACTCCTCTACTTTCAGCACTGCCTCGAACGGCGATGATATTACGGGCATCACCGTCACTTTTCGCTCTTCCAGGTGACATTCTACTGCCCCTGGGCTCTGCTCACCGGTCGTTGGCCAATGCGTCTTATCCTTGTGAAGCCAGTGTGGTCCTCTCCACCACAATTCGCTTTCTAGCAAGGCTGATGGGAGGATACCGCGAGTGATTAGGTCAGCGGGGTTGTCTAGTCCTGGGCAGTGCCTCCAATCCTCGGGATCAGTCAGCGCCTGAACCTCTGATACTCGGTTTGCCACGAAGGGCTTCCATCTGGCAGCGTTTCCTTTAATCCAGTGCATAGCCACTGTGGAATCGGTCCAAAGGATGGCAGCAGCATTCTGGAGGTTCAAGGCCTTGGCAACGTAGTGGCACAGTCGAGCACCAATGAGGGCCCCCATCAGCTCTAGTCGGGGTAACGAGAGGCGCTTCAAAGGGGCAACTCTTGATTTGGCCATAATTAGGCTTATATTGATTATTCCTTGAGCAGACTTGCATGCAACGTATCCGACAGCACCGTAGGCCTTTGGGCTGGCATCGCAGAAAATGTGCAACACCTTCTCTGTCTTTTCATCTCGGAAATCCCTTGCGATGATCCTCGGAATGGACACCGCCTTGATGCATTGAAGCTCTTCACACCAGCACTTCCACTCCGCTTGCATCAATTCTGGCAAGGGGTCGTCCCAACCCGCTCCCAACTCCCACAACCTTTGGAACATTGTCTTTACGTACAGTGTTGTAGGAGCGATAAACCCAAAGGGGTCGAAAATTCTGGCTGAGACTTGCAATACGAATCTCTTGCTGTCGGCTCTGGTGGTGAGGAATTCAAGAAGTGAGGTCAGATTGTACTCGAAGTTATCTGTATGAGCATTCCAACCTACTCCCAATACCTTGGTGGCTGCAGGAAGTTCGGCATTTGCATTCCTCTTCGCCACGTTCCCATCCTCTATGAAGTTGACTAAATCGTGGTCGTTAGACATCCACTTGTGGAGCCGCATTCCTGCTTGAGATAATATATCGCTTGATTCCTGGCATAGCACTTTACCCTGTTCGAGGGTGTCGACCCCTGTCACAAGGTCGTCAACATAGAGATGGCTGCGCAGGATGTTCGCAGTCTCAGCATACTGCTCTGGGAGTCCTTCAAGATGGTGTCGTAATGTTGCGGCTAATAGGAATGGGCTGGATGTAACACCGAACGGAACGCGCGTCATCCGGTAGGCCGCCACCGCTGGAAGTTCTTCACCTTTCTTCGGAGTGGCAGCATACCAGAGAAACCGCACAGCGTTCCGGTCACCCTCTGACAGAGATATTTGAAGGAATGCCTTTTCAATATCCGCGACGATGCCGATGTTGTAAGTGCGGAAGTTGATCAACAAATCAATGAGCTCTGGATTAAGTTTTGGACCACTTTCCAAAACATCATTCAGTGAGAGGCGATCTTTGGCACTTGATGATGCGTCGAACACCACCCTCACTTTTGTTGTCAGGCTTTCTTGTCGAACAACTGCTTGATGTGGCATGTAATACACCGGACCTTCCGAAGCGCTGCAATGCTTGTTGGCTGGCTCTGCATAGCCCTTTTCGATGTATTCTCGGATGCAGGCGTCATATTCCACGATCAAGGAATCTCCCTTCAAAAGGCGCGTCGTGTTGGCTCTAAGACGCTTCGCGGCGCACTCGTAGTTGTCGTCGAGCTCATCAACCATAGGCTTCCAGGGGAAAGACACTGTGTACCGCCCATGCTCAAATTTGACGGTTTCTTTGTAGTGCTGTTGGATTGCGTCTTGGTGGCGAGCTGGTTCGTGTTCCTTGATACCAATGTGTTCGAGCTCCCAGAATGACCTCAACTGCGCTGATATTTCTTTGTTAGTTTGTTCGCTCACTGCTACTCGCATTACGCCAGCAACAGAGGGACAGACTCCTGGTGACCTTTTTGCGCCTACCTGGCCCTGGACTGTCCACCCAAATGCAGTTTCTACTGCCATCAGCTTGGAGGTTAGGCGCTTAGTGGATCCCGTGACAATTTCCCAATAATGATCAGCGCCGATCAGAAGATCAATGTTTTCACTTCCGTCACCCTGCGCGACGTCCGCGACTGGCAAGCCAAATTTCGAAAGTTCCAGAAGAACTGACTTAAAGGCGCAGCCATTATATCTGCGCAGATGCAGGGAACTTCGAGGGCCTCCACTCGCGCCCTTTTCCCGTCGTACTGGCTTTGCAGCCACAGCTCGACCAGACGCGCTTTAGTGCGGGTTATAGCGGACTTGTCGCCGAAGGCATAGATTTTAAGTTCCTCTTCCCCAAGCACGTTCAACTGCAGTCTTTCAGACAACTTGCGATGGATGAACGTCCTTTGACTGCCACCATCTAGGAGAAGCCTGACAAGCGTACTTTTGTGCGGTCCCACTGTCCAAGCTCGTGCTGTTTGCAGAAGAAACTGATGCCCCTCCATGCACATAAATTTCTCCTCTGAGCCTAGAGAAGACTTTAGCACTGTGGCTTGTCCTGTCGCTGGTGGAGAGGATGCATTCTGTTCACCACTGCCACGGTATTCTCTGAAATCAGGATCACACATAGCCGTGAGGTGTTTTCCGCTACAGTTGGCACACCTGAGCCATTTGGCCTTACGGCACTCTCTTGACGTGTGCCCCTTTACTGTGCAGCGGAAACATCTATTCTCACGCTTCAGCATTTCTCTTTTATCAGCTGCCGACATCTCTGCATCGCAGTCACCGCTTTCGTGGCACCCTGACGAACAAAACAGACACCCTTTTCTCTCCTTGGTCATGGTATGCAGTGCAGCGGCTGAAGACATTCTCGCCGCTTTAAAGGTGCTGTTACGGTTTTCGACAGACGATTCTACACACATGCCCCTTGGTGTTTCGGCCCGCTGTATAATCTCCCGTGCCTCTACCTCGACTCTCAAAAAATGCGCAAATGCCTCCAGTTCACTGCCTCCTGTAGTAGCGCCCTTTCGTCGACAGTATTCGAGATGAAGGTCCGCAGGCACCGCCTTCTTTACTACTGTCAGGAGCAGAGCTCCGTACGTGCTGACACCGACGCCAAGAGAAGTGAGGCTCCGTACACCTCTCTCTACTTCGTCAACGAGGCTCCGAAGTTGGCTGAGGTTCCGCGAGTCACGCACTGACTTGATATTGAGCAGTCTGGACATGTGATCCTCGATTATGGCTTCTTTACGACCGAACCTTTCCTTTAACAGCGAGAGCGCAACTTCGTAGTTTCCGTCGGACAAATCAAGACCCGCAACAGCAGCCGCTGCTTTTCCTGTTAAGTAACTGTTCAGGTACTTGAACTTGTCCACGTTTGACAGGTGGTGGTTAGCGTTTATTGTCGTGTCGAACTGACTCCAAAAGCCTTGCCACTGTCGAAGCTCGCCGTTGAACTTTGCTATCTCTAGTTTTGGCAGCTTTACTGTGGGGGTTACTTGCGGGATGTTACGGCTAGATTCTCTTTGATCTGAGGAACTTGAGGTGCGATCTAGCGAAGCGCTCACTGATGCGGCGTTAGTGCAGCTAAGCTCACGTAGCATGAGCTGTACTTTAGTCCTTGCTACGTTGATCTTTTCTTTATAGTTCTCGGAGCATGCAATTTCCTCTTCTAATGCATCATCTTCTACGCCAATCTCAATTTCCCGATCTAGCTCTTTGAGTGAGTCTTCCTTAAGGGTGAGAAGGTTGATCTTTTCTTCAAGCTCACCGAGTGACGCGTCGTCCTCCATGGTAGCGATGTCATTGAGCAGCTTTGTTGTTGACGTTCGCACCACGGCCCTTTTGCGCTTCATCCTGTCGATGTCCATCTTTGGGTCCCTAATTCCCGGGTTTCGGCACCAAAAAATGTTGTAGCGGAATAGCAGGGAGGCAGACTTTTTCTAGTGAGACGACGACAGAGAAAAAACACGTCCTTTCAGTTTGAACGCATCACGAAGACTGGTTTATTCGTTCGCTATGTACCGCTGTCGTAGAGAGGGGAAGAAAAAAAAAAGGAAAAGCAAACAGAGAAGCACAAGTATTGTCAAAGAGTTTCCTCCGCACCCCGCACGTGCGACGGTCTTCAAGGACAGATGGACAAAACGCTTTCCGCGTGTTCGAGAAGGGTCATTGTGGCCCTCACCCCCTTTTCCCTTCACGGCTAGGCTTGTAGGTAAAACAGATGTCAAGGACGCCCTTCGCTCCTTTCGCATTGCCCGTCACGCGAACCACCCGAAAACGAGTCCCTCCGAGTTGCCCCTCCTCCCCCTCTTCGCCGCGGAGTCTTTCAATTAACGCTCCCCCGCAGCGGGGGCTGCTTCCCAGTATGCGACAAATACAACAAGATGCGTAACTTGTAAACGTGTTTTACTGAGTTGGTCCGTATCTACAAGGCCATAAAGAGCTTATGGGCTGTTTATGTTTCTTTGATTATGACTGAAGACACTTTAGGAATATGATAGAATTAGATGACAACACGCATCAGCAAGTAAATGCCGAACGGCTAAAAGCCAGTTTTTATTACCTCAGAAAGAAAAAAAGAAAGCTAAATTAAGTGCGTACAATATGAAACTTGAAAGTCGTAAAATACAGATACCTTCAGCAATCACTAATTTCTTTTTTTTTTCTTCATCCTCTATAGGAAGTTAATGGATGGAAGAGGGAGCTTCAGTTTCTCCAAAGAGCAACATTTGCCTAAGTGCTCCTCATGGTAAGTGATGCAGCCATCTTGCACATGCAAGTTTGATTTCTAAACTAAATATCAATCACGTCGTTCGCTGTTCGCGATATCATGTATGCACACTTCTATAATGAAAGTTCAAAAACACCACATTTCAGAAAAATGAAACATGAGGTTTTTTTCAGCCTTGCTCAACTATGTTCACCAGTACTATATTGTAGGCTGACTCGTGAAAACTGTGCTGTAACGTGACACTCTTTCTCGTCTCCCTCAAAGTCTTTTGAAAAATGTCTTCACACATTCTTTTAGTCATGCCTTGTCGTCTCTATTCAAAGCCCACCTGAACGTATTCCGGACGACATTTCGCGAGGAACACAATATTTGTAGCAGAGAATGGCGTCGTTTCGAAGCACGGAGACGGAACCAGATCGATAGAAACGACTGCTTTTCAAACACGAGCATTCATCGTAACGCGTCTTCGCCGAGTTTGCGACATGATAACATGGCCAAATGATATGTTTTCGTTCATTCAGCCAGCTTTGGTTCCTTAAATCTTAACTCAAGCGCAACACGCACGACGATTTCGCGTTTACGCCTTGCAAGAAACATCTTCCAACATAAAGAAAAAGCACGTAATCTCGGCTGCCGCTTTCGTGCCCCGATCGTTTTTGAAGTCCACTGGCTGAAAGCGATTACACGAGAGTGGGGGCTTCCAGTGTAAACATGTAGACGACTTGTTACTCAGACAAAAAATAAAAACCTATTGACCTTTCGTATGTTGAACTAAAAAAAGAAGACGAAGAAGAATAAAAGGTGGGAGGTTAAAGCAAACACAATTACATATCGGAAATGCTCAAAGGTCAATATTATTTGTGCAATGAGGGTCGTTCTTTGAAGACGGCCACAATAAAGCACGGCGCGTCATGCTGCATTCATAGCGCAGATGAGACACCCGGAAGTTGCTCAGCGACTCGTACTTTTTGTTCAGAGGTTTCAACTCACGTATAAAGGATCTGAATCGTCATCATTGTGCTGCGTAAATTATATGCGAACAACCCCGTGCTTCTTTCAACTGGACAACGATTTACTTAATGGTTCGCGTGCGCGTCGTCTTGGAAGCTAAGACATTGCAGGTTGTTTTATTGATGATTGTTCACGCGGCTTGCGTTGTGACTCTTCGATCAGTCAAACGGAATCAGTGAGAGAGAAATAAAGAGATCAAGAACAAAAGAACAGCAGGGATGTAAACCATGTCTGAGCCCTGCAGTCCGAGAAGGGGCTAAATTTCAATAGTGCGGAAGACCTGGCCCAGTTGGAAATTCAATAGCACTCGCAAACACACATAAAAAAAGCTCGATGTCTGAGTGTGTACAGGTGCTACAAAAAAAAACACCTTTTGATGATTATGTGCTGGAACAATCACTTTGTGATGTGTTGCCTTCGATTAGAAATAGCACACACCGTTCGTTTTGTATGTCACTCGTTTATTGTTGCGTTGTGCGAACGTCTTCTTGCTGGCATCCTATAACGAACACATTACTTTCTATTGTTCTCGACATGAGCCACACACATCCCCTTTAGCGGTGGTTTCTATGATTGTGGACGCATATTTTACGCAATGTAATAGTGAAATGAAAAATTATTTGTGCACAGATAACGAGCCTATGATTTCATTCTTTTTACGGCAAAATGAAGTATGTTTGACTGAAAAATTAACAAGTATTTATTTACACACATATTACAAATATTTCCTGAATTTCGCTCAAAATATCTCACTACTTCATTTTTTCCTTGAAGTTTAATATTGAGTGTCTTAAAATTGTGTTATGGGAATTTGATGCTAACGTCGACAGTTCACCATAATTTGCGCCTGGAGGGTTTATTCAGGGCGCCATTAACGAATCACCGTTACATTAAAGTCGCACTCGACATCGATTACTATAAAAAGTTGAAAAATATGCAGCCTCATAACAAGTCCATGGGAGCATCAACTGTCCCAATGAATAATCGTTTCTCCACAATTTACAGTACATGCATTGTACTCCCAAACTTTCCGACTTTATTCAATATTTTGTGACCGCACCGTATAAGATTACATTTTAACCATAGTTTTGTAGTGTTCTTACTATTTACCTCTATATCACTCACATTGTGGTACCACTATCAATTCACTTGAATCCTGAGTGTTCACATTTAGAATTCTTTTCTCAGTCCACACGCAAACGCAAAGTTCTCATGTTTATAGACTAAAAAATCTGGGACAGCGAAGAAACCGATGCAAAGAAACAGCAGACTTGTCTGTATGTCCCGGCTGAATTTCTACATTGCGGTTCATAAACGTATGTGCAAAGAAACAGAATACTCTCTTGCCCGATCTGTCTATGAGGACGAGGTCGTGTGTTCGTATTCCTGCCACGGCGGCCACACTTTAATGGGAGCGAAGCACAAGGGACACCAGTTTACCGAAATTGAATATCAGGTTAAATAACACCATGTGATCAAATTCAATCCACAGACAGCCCCTGAAACGTGCTCCCTAATTATACCGTGGTTCTGACAGGTAAAATGGAAGAAGTCTTTCCACGCGTACGTGAGTCGTATCCATAAGTCGGCAAAACATGTGGAGCTCATGCAGACTCACTCGTGAAGTATCTTTAGCGCGTAGGACTCACTCGGATTCAAACTCACTAGCATTGTCTTGAGCAGGACCCACTCGGACTCACGGCTCGATCTGAGTCCGGATGAGTCGACTCATGAAAGGGTTCTGTGACCGATTTGTGGTCGTATCAGTGGTAAGAAATCGTCTTCAGAGCTTGAAACAAAACCAGATACTGGTTGAAAGTCGATGTATCCATCTTTTTTTTTTCTTTTGTTCGACGCAACTCAATGCGCGCGCTTAGAAGCGGTCGACTTTCGAAACCACACGAAAAGAGAGCATTCGAAAGAAAGGTACTTCCGTGGGAAGGCTGCCAGCTGCTGTCGAGTCTTGTTCGCTGTACCTCCACCCCTCTCTCTTTCTCTCTTCCTCCTCGTCCACCTCTCGTCAAACAGCGTGAATCCGTCTCCATCAGCCGCCAAAAAAAAAAGCCGCCAGGAAAATCGACGTGCACATTTTCTGTCATTTCTCGCCCTCCCGTAGCTATCACGATCCCAGGCGCGAGCAGTAACCGGCTTTCTCTCCGCTTCTCTCTCACCCGCGAGCGAAACATTCTGCAGCAACACATTGCGGTAAGGACGATTTACAGTAGGCGCCTGCAGACTCGGCCGGCGCGGCGTCATCCCGTCGGTGCGTCTAACCTGTGCAGCAGCCAACACTGTGTGGCCGTCGCATTTCGGCTGCCGCCGCCGGTGTGCTCATTAACTGGTCCGGATGATTGGCCCCCAAAGGGGCATTCTAATGAGCCACCCTATCAGCTAGTTTGCGGGGTCTTCTCCGCTCGTAATCATCGTTAATCACGGCTCTCTCTCCTGTAAAGCTGTCTCTGCCACGCTCTTACCTCGCGCGGTGGCAACGTTGTCGGTGCGCCTCCTTCGAAGGCGGTAAAATCAGAATTTTGTTTCGTTTGTTCCGCACTTGTGAAATTAAGGAAGGTAGGCATCAGCAAGAGCAGGCGATCTCCGAAGTTCTTTTTTTTTCTAATGACAAGAAACTATAATGAATGCTTCGACAACCTTTTATTGCTTGAATAAAAAGCAAAATACAATAAAGCCAGGAAATGTCTATGGGGTGTCATTTGCAGTAGTTATGACGGAAATAGGAAGAAATGGAAGCGTACGGAAGAAAATTTGCCGGAAACAGGGACCGAACATGCCAACTTCGCATAGTGGATCCGATGCTCTACCATTTCAGCTAGAGCGGTGTTCGTTCAGTGACCTCAATTGTTAAAACATCGTACGCGTTGATACGTATCATAGTTACTGCAAATAACGTCCCCTGTACGTTCCTTGGCTTCATTATGTGTTAGTTCTCATTAAGATTGCGTCTAATAATGAAAAACTAGTATCTTAATTACCCTTCCTTCTTTCATTGCTCAATGTTACCGCCCTTTCAGGAAGCAAAGTGTCACCGCTCTTTGTTTCATACAATGTAACGTTTATCTGTTTCTTTCTCAAATTTATTCCCGTTCCCGCGGGAAAGGCAGACACGTC